TCCTGTGATTTGCCATGCTAGCATCCAGGACACCTGGCTTCCTATTCGCCTGGCACCCTGGCATCCCTGGTATCCCTGGCATCCTGACATCCTGGTGTCATGGCTTCCTGACATCCCGGGACCCTAGCATCCTGGCATCTTGGAATCTTAGCATCATCATCACCATCGTTAGTCGTTGATTGTAACGTATATTCACACAAAGGATATTATAAGGTGTGGTCTTATCTTCGAAGTAATTCCAGGCTTCTTAAGGAAAGGCTTAGCGTCCTCATCGGAACCTTGGGTAGTTCCCGTGTTTCTGAATGGACAGTGCTGTTGGATGGTCTCGCATTGTCGTTGACGGTGAAGCCCGGCTGAAGTATTGGATTGAGAGGTCCCAGTTGTCCCCACAATGGGTCTGAGGGTGCAGGAACGGCGTCGCGCAGTCCTCGTCTGGACAGAGGACAGCAGATCGATCACGAGACTGCCCAGGCCCCTTTCTTTCACAGCGGATATGGAAGCAGGTGTTGATGCGATCCCGCGTGCTCCGCATTGTTCAATCATCGGCTCCGCGCCCAAGAAAGGAGGCAGCGGGGGCTGGCCCTGTGAGAAGCCCCCCTCTGGCGTCGGAGAAGGCCGACACAGTCGCGGCGAAGGCCCGCCCCCGCAGCACCTTCCCCTCCGCGCTGCGCCGCCCATGGGCACCCTCCCGTGCCGCTCCCTGCCCCGTCCGACGAGCCGTTCCAGCCCCACGGGGGCGGACAGGAGGTACTCCAAATCTCATAATAGTGGGGGGGGGGTCAAACAAGTGTTTGACGGCCGGTCTGGGACCCCCCCCCCAAGACAGGCAACAAGAGGTCCAAACTCGAGACCCCCCCACAAGTGTGTTTGACGAAGCCCGTAAGACCCCCCCAGAAGCAGACCCCCCCCCATTGTTATGAGATCTGAGGTATCAGAGGGACAGGTTCGACCTGAGAGGGCTCGCTCTGCGTCTTGCCTGTCTCGAGGAAGGAAAACAAAAACGGCATAAGCATCGACTTCTGGCGCCACGGGCGGGTTCCTTGGATCCGCGCTGGCCCCCCCTGGCGACGTCGCTGGCGCCGCCCCTGGCGCGCGAAGCGCGCCAGGGAGGGGGGTCCAGCGCAGATCCACGAAACCCGCGCGGAGCGCCAAACGTGCAGGTTTATGGCGTTGCTTATTGTCAGTGCTAACTCTGTGTCTTGACTGTCGGTGCGGTGGCGGATTCCAGAGCTTTCTGCTCAACGCCAACGGACACGTTGCCCACCCAGCCAGCTTCGCCTTCTCTTTCTCCATGTTCGCACTGGTGAACATTGTCCAAGGACTCCTCTACAGCATCACAAGGATTGTCATGCTCTTCATGGCTGCCACAGGGTCCACTGTCTTCCGAGTGGACAGGGCGAACTTGAAGGACGAGTCTACAGATCCGGTCTTCCGCTCCTTCCTCTCTCTCGTTCACACCAGCTGCGTCGAGTACAATCCGATTCTCAGGACCTTCTGCCATGTCATGAACCCTGCTGCAGACGACATCTGGATACCGAACCCGCCTCCTGGCCGCCATCCAATCTATGACCCCCCTGGCCCTGAGGACATCGTCGAACTGATCGGCCGGAGTGTGGCCGTGGGTCATCAGGGCGCCGAGGAGCTCTTCAGGCAGGCCGACCTGAACGGGGACGGGGAGCTGGACCTCCACGAGCTCGCAGGGTTTGTCTGTAGCAAGCTGAACCTCACCCTCACGCAAGATCAGATCCAGCAGGCCTTCCTGAGGTTTGATCGGGACCAAAGCGGGACGATCAAGTTTGACGATCTCCTTGCCATTGTTGCTGATGTAGATGCGCGACGAATGGTGCATGCGAGGCGGCTTCGGGTGCGGAACAGGCTGTGGCTTTGGATCACACTGTCCAGGAATCCCGGCCTCGTGCATTTCCGAGGCCATCGGCTGCCGATTAATTTGCAGGCTGAGGCAGAAGTCCCCAAGACGCTGCGTGAACTGTCGCAGAATGTGCTTTCCAGACTTCGCGAGAAGATGCACGCAGCCAGGCACTCAGATTGGCCCTCCATCGACGTCATCAGGCATGCCCTCAGATCGACAACTTCGGCCTTTCAGGTAATGGTTGGTATTCGTCCTATGAGGGGACGCGATGTCCGACACTCGGTGTTTGCCAAGGCCTCGGAGGAGCCTGACGCGAGACGACGCACCGTCGCTGTGCACCGTCTTCCGAGGGATGCACAGGAGACAGAGCTGATAAACGTGCGCTCGCGCTCGAACAGCATGCCCTTCTGACAGGACGCGCCCCCGAGAAAAAGAAAAGGAGACGCAGGTACGTGAACCGTGCCCAGATCTGTCGGCGCTGCGCGCGCAGGCCTGCCACGGCGCGCTCGCTCCGAGCCCCGGCGGGAGCGCGAGGCGGGGCGGCAGCACGGCGGAAGCAAGCGCCCGGTCGGTGCTGTCTTGGGGCGCCGTTGCATTTTCGTTTTTGCCGGGGGGGGTGGCGGGATGGGGAGGCGGCGACGGCACACTTTCTTGAGTGCAAGTAGTCGGGGGCAGTTCTGGCGCGCACACGCACAGACGATGGTGGCACGTGCTTGAGCCGTCTCGGGTCCGCGGGAGGCGCCTCGGGAGAGCACCTGTGGTGTAGACGGCGGGTCCGTTTCGTTGTTGGAGTGATGCGTGGTAGGCATGCGCAGAGGCGACGCGTGGTTCGAGGGAATGAAGTAATTGAGAGAATCGACGGCCGAGGTCGTTGTCGGGCGTCGTGGCATCTGCACTGCAGGCTCGGGCCCGATGGCTTGCGAGAGCGGCTGTTGGAGTGAGAGTGCCGAAAAATCCGTGCAAAGCAGACCGAGCTCAGCCGGCAGCGATAGAAATCCGTTGGACTCCAGGCGTGCCCTGGGAGGTTCTCCCTTTTCCCTGTCTCCTGTGTTCGCGCCTTTTGGGGCCCCTTGGAGGCAGTTTGGATGCCTCTTGGGGACTGTTTGGGGGCTCGTGGGAGCTCTTCTGGGCCTCTTGGGGGCCTCTTGGACCTCTTGCGGGCCCCTTGGGGGCACCTTTGGGCCTCCTGGGCGCCTCTTGGGGCCCCCTGGTGGCCTCTTTGGGCGGAAAAAGGCTCGGATGTTCGGCTCGCGTTCCCTCTCTTGGGCACTCTTGGGGCTGCCTTGGGCCCCTCGTGGGCCGTGTTGGGTGCCTCCTGGGCCGTCTTGGGGCGCTCGTAGGCCGACATGGGGGCCTCTCGGAGGCCTCTGGGGTGGTCTGGGGTCCTCTTGGGAGGCCTCTTGGAGGCCTCTTGAGGCTATCTTGAAGTCATCTTGGGCGCCCTGGAACGATCTTTCGGCGACCCCAGGCCCTCTTGGGCAGACTTGGCGGCCTCTTGGAGCCCTCTTGGCCCGTCTTGGGGCCCTCCTGGCCCGTCACGCGGGGACAGACGCATGGGAGCCTTGGGGAACCGCGACAAGCCCAAAGGAATTTCGGAATGTGTGGCCCGGGCCCTTGAAACACTCCTCAGGACTGATGGCTGAGGCTCTGGGGATTCGGCTGAGGACACGCCCATTCCGTGCCCAGAGGCATGGTGGCGGATGTGTGTGTATACATACATAACTACACATATCGAGAGAGAGAGAAGGGGGAACAGAGACAGAGTGAGAGAGAGAACAAATAACAAGAGAGAGCAAGCGGAACATCAGATCTTGTCGAAGGACCCAACCATATGCAGTTGTGCAGTTGTGAGTAAGGCAGTCGATATCGTCCTCGGTGGAGCTCCGTATAGGGCCACGAAAAGTGTGGGGTGTGCCGTGTGCCGAAATGTACATGCGATGGGAGGGAATCCGCATGCGAACATTGCCATTGGCGCTGTGTGGAGCGCCCTATGGGGCCACGAAGCTTGTGAGGGGTGGGACGGAATAGACATGCGGAGGGCAGAAACAGGGGTGGGAGGAGGGAGGACCGGGAGGAGGAGAGGATGAGGGGAGGACGCGGGGCGCTGTGTCTTCAAAACGAGGACCCAATGCCACAGACTTGCAGGGGAAAAGATATAACAAGTCTCATCATGCCTCTTGGAACGCCAATGCTTTTCTTGTTGAGCCTTTGTATGGAATGGCCATGTGCGTTCCACTACCTCGAGCGAGCATTATGATGTTGATCTTGTTTGGCCCAAACCATCTCCGAACTAGCAATTCTTGCTATGCAGGGTTGTGCCAGATTGCTGCTGCTAGATTTCCCCAGTCAATCCATAGTTCTTTATCCGATTCGCAGAATTCCTAATTCTGCATCACGGGTCTGGATAATAATGCGCGTGGCGCAGGACAGCCAGGAGGTGGAAACGAATGGGGGTTCGGACGGCCCGATGCTGATTGAATGGGCGACACCGCTTCGGTTGTGTAGTGATCTTGATTTTCATGAGCCGACCCAGTGTCAGGGTTCACCCATGTGGAAGTCTGATCCTGATGGGTCTCAGATTGGGAGCGGCGCCCATACCTGTCCTTAGCTGCGCCCAGACGTCCTTGGAGCGCCTGAGCCAACGTCTAAGCAGGCACCACAGGAACCCCAAGATCGAGGCACAATCTGCACTCCCAGACCCTCCAACAGCCCACCACACCATCCTGGGTCCCACACCAATCCTGCAGGAAGCGTCGAACCTGTAAAAAAACACAACGTTCAGGACGCATCGCTCCTCGACATCTCTCTTCCTGCCCTCCTCCCCCCTTACGTCTAGCTTTAAGTCGGGCATGTCCCTTCCTGCCCTCCTCCCCCCTTATGTCTAGCTTTAAGTCGGGCATGTCCCTCTACAGGGAGAATCTCCAAACATAGTCAGCTAAGATAGTCTGGGGACGATCCGTCGATTCTTCTTATAATGCTTGGGCATGCTTGTTCATGCTGCTGGCGCTCGCTAAAAAAAAAGAAAACGCCTGTAGGAGGACATGCCCGACCGAAGTCCAGCTGCATTGGACTCCACCGTCCCTGGGGGGGCATCGGGCCCCCGCCCCCCCTCGTTCTCCCCCTCTGCCAGGCAGCGGGCCCACCCCTACCGCCTCCTCGCGCACAACGGCGAGATCAACACCATCAAGGGCAACACGAACTGGATGAAGGAACCCCGCCCGCCACCCCCGCAGTCTTTGCCCGCGCGGCCTCCCTCCATCGCCGTCGTATTCGTCGTCGTCGCTCGTCGCCGTCGTCATCGTCGTCGTCGTCCCCGCTCTCGTCCTCGTCGTCGTCGTCGTCGTCGTCTTCGTGATCGTCGTCGTTGTCGTTGTCGTTGTCGCCCTCTTCGTCCGGCGTTCGGCCCCTCCCGGCGGGGCTGGACCACCTTACCATCACCCCCTCACGGGGGCCCGCTCCCCCCCCCCCTTCCCGCTCCTCCTCCCGCCGCAGCCGCTCCTCCAGGATCCTCCTTCCCTCTCCCAATCCTCCCCCAGCCTCTCCCCCCGCCGCCGTCCCCCCACCTGCTCCATCCCATTGCCACTATCAGAAGTGATTCCCTGTCGCGCTGTCGCGCCCCGGGTCGTGCCGTCGGGGCCGTGCCTGGCGTGTCGCCCGAGACCTCCTCTCCATTTATGACCTGGGATCTCGAGAGTTGAACAGTTTCGGGGACGGAGGGCGGACGGTTTTCGAACTGTGATTCTCGCGCGGGTGCCGCGCACATTCGCCCTGAACATTCGCAAGGGTTTCATGGAATAATGGCGGTTCTTTTTCAAAACGTGTGGTTCTCGCTTTGGCGCTTCGCACATTCGTCTTCAAACAGTTCAAGAGCCTCGCGGATGGAGGGCGGGTGGTTTTTCAAATTGTGGCTCTCGCGTTGGCGCCGAGCGCATTCGTCTTGAACATTTGCAAGAGCTTGACGACGGATGGAGGGCGGTTCCTACTCAAAATAATGTTCTCGCTTAGCGCTGCGCACAGTCGTCGTTCGAGTTTACAACATGTTTGAAGATTCCTATGGCTGACGTTTCAAACATTGCATTTCGGCACGGTGTAGGACAGTCATGGCGCAACGGTCACGTGGGATCGCGGTGATGAGGTCCTCGGAATGGAGTTCTGGCGCGAGTCAGGATCGCCAGGACGCAACAGCAATGTGATTCGCAGCGTTGCAGTCCTAAGAATGGCCTTTGGCACTGTTCAGGGTTTTCAGCCGATTGTCTTCCAACGGGGCACTTCCCTCAGTGAAAGTGGGAAGTTGGAGGAAGGGCTTGTTGCAACATCGTTAAAGAGCTTTGAGTTTACACTGGTCACTCTCATACTTCTTCTTCTTCTCCTCCTCCTCCTCCTCCTCCTCCTCCTCCTCCTCCTCCTCCTCCCTTCTCCTCCCTTTCCTTACCCTCCTCCTACCCACAAGTAAGACGAAGTCGTGAAGCCGTCGACCCCGCCGACACCACGGACTTCATCGACTCCCTACCACGATCATGCAGCTGGCACCCCCGACAGGGCCGTTGCAGGTAGCGAGGGTTGGCAGTTGCGGTTCCAGCTATGTGCATTCTTCATCCTTATTCTTCGTTGCAAGAATTTGTCAATCTGAATTCAGCGGCCCTCTCTCAGCGGATCCCAGTCGAGAGGGGTCCCTTTTCTCCCGCATGTTGTTTGTCTACGTGTGGGGTTTCAGCCGTTGGTTGCTTAGTCGTTGTTCAATCGGGACGCGTGTTCGTTTTGTTTAAAGGGCGCTCCCGCTGAATCGTTGTCCTCATTTCAGGATCGACGCTGTGCTCCCCTCTTCAGAGTGCGCGGGCCACATACCTGGATTCGAGTCCTTCCTCGTCGTTGCCTCCCCCTCCGTTCCCCTCCTCCGCTTTCCCCTGCTCATCCTGCTTCTTCCGCTCCTCCTGCTGCTGCTGCTGTTGCTGCTGCTGCTCCTCTTCCTCCTCACATTTCTTCTCCTCTTCCTTATGCTCATGCCCCTGTTCGTCCGCCACCCTTGTTCCTCCTTGTCCACTGCGCAGAGGTCCTGCTTCATAGTGCGCATAGTGCCATGGTGCCCTCTGGGGGTTCCAGATCCGCTATCACACACAGCGGCGGATAGAGACGACTCAGCGCAATCGGAAGGGATGGTGGGAGGAGTAGGATGCCAGATATGGCGCGAACGCAGCCAGCTTGCCTCCTCTCCCCTCTGTCATTTTGTTGGATCGTATATAACGGAAGGTCCCGCACATCTCGGATTGAGGGCATACCAGCGAATAGCGCCCAACAGCGTACAATGGCACCAAATAGAGCCTAATAGCGCCCAGTAGCGCCGAACAGTGATCAAATGGCGACCAATGGCGCCAAGTAGCGCCATGTGAAGGGAAACGCATCAAGCCCGCTGTGCACGCGATTTGGCGCGCTGTTTCGCGCCATGGGGACCACCAAACACCCCCGTGAGCTGCTTTCCGACTCCCCCCCCTTCCTCTCGGCGTCGGAGGGAGGAGAGGCGACACTAACACCACCAGGGGGGCCACCTCCAGAGAGGAGGTCCACGATGCCTCCCCGAGCTGGAGACGAGGGAGGGGGAACCACACCACCAGGGAGACCCCCCTTGCTCCTCGCACCTCCTCGCCCCAGTGGTGCTGGTGTCGCCTTTCCTTCTCCCTGCCCTCCCGGAGAGCCGACCCATGAGCCTCACAAGGTGAGGCAGGCGCGAGCGCCAGGCCGAGCTGCGGGCTTCCGGGCTCGGTGCTCTGGGCGCGCGGGCTGGCCCCGTGCGCGCAGAGCGCGAGGAGGGCAGCCGGTCCCTCGCGACGAGGGCCCTCTCGGGAGGCCCGGGCCCAGGGCGACGAGCTGCCGAAAGCCTCGAGCTCGGATTCTTGCGAGGCGGGGCAGTGCTCTCGAGGGGAGCCGGGCCTGCGCGCACCGGGAGCCCCTCTGGAGGCCCAGCGAGGGCGAGAGGGCGGGCTAGACTGGCTGGGCAGTCCGTCCTCACCCGGTCCTGCTTTGACGGGGTGCCTCCCGTGGGGCCCCTTGTGCTTCCCCCCTGGGGTCCCAGTGGGGCCAGAGAGCAGGAGTTGTTCCCAACGTCGACCTCCATAGTTCTTGACCCATTCCCCAGAACCGTGTTTTCGTCCTGAGTCGTCTTTTGACGGCACCGAGGCCCTTCGAGGGTCCCTGGAGGCCAAAGATAGCGAGAGACCTGCCGTCGTACTTTTGTGTTCGCAGCGCGAGGAGGCCTGGGCCGCCCCTCCCCCGCACTCGGCAACGCGCAGAGAGGGGTAGGGGGAGGGGGGAAGGCTTCTTAGAAGCACCCCTGCTTCTTAGAAGGCGCGAGCCTTCTCTATAGACGTAAGGCCGAGGCCTTCTAAGAAGCAGGGTGCTTCTAAGAAACCTTCCCCCCTCCCCCTACCCCCTTTTGCGCGCCGCCAACGCACGACGCGCCTGCCGAGACGTTCCAGGGCGTGCTCGCTCCCCGGGGCAAGCTGCCCCGTCGGGCAGGGCCCCCCGCTGCCGGTGCCGCTGCGCAGCGCCGCCGGCCGCCGCCCCGGCCGTCCTCCTCTGCAGCCCCGTGCCCTGCTCCGGGCGGGGGCCTCGGGTGTATCAGCCACGCGCAGCCCAGGCCCTCTCGGGCAATGAAAAAATCATGACAGGAGGTTTTTGGTAATTTTCGGCCTCTGGGGGCCCTTGCCGGCGCTCGGGACCGTCAAAAAGCGACTCAGGAGGAAAAACCGGTCCAGGGGAATGGGTCGGGACCTCCAGGGGTCGACGTGATGACAAAAATCATGACGTCGGGGGTCTGGGGAGGGGGGTGGGGGGAGGGGGGAGGGCTCCTTAGAAGCAGACCCTGCTGCTCAGAAGGCGCGGGCCTCATCTACAGATGTATGGCCGTCGCCTTCTGAGGAGCAGCCTCCTGCCTCCCCCCTCCCCCCAGCCCCTTTTGCGCGCCGCCAAGGGTAGCTAGGGGGCGGCCAAGAGGCCGGTGATGACTAGGGGGGGGGATCATGGCTAGGACCATGATATCTCCCCAGATTTCATGGCGCCTCCTCTTGTTTCGTTACGTCCCCGGCCCCCGCCCTGGGACGCGTACATGCGGCCAGTCATGACTTGCGCCCCACCCTCTTGGGCGCCCCCCACTTGGCCGCCCCCAGGTAGCAATTCACGTGTCAGAAATCGGGGGTCCCCAAACGTGTTGGTGACCACACCGTGTGGTAAATCGGGGTGGATCCGGGGTCACCGCACGGTTGTGGGACTCGGGTCGTGCTCCGAGGATGTCTCGGGCGACTGGGGCCTCCAGGGTCCCAAGACCGTGCGGTGACAGACCCTACGGTGATGTCTTTGGGGATTTCGAGGTCCCCGCCGGGTCTGTCACCACACGGTTTTGGGACCCCTAAAGAAAGAAAGAAAGAAAAACATCCGGTCGGGAGGGTGGGGCTGGGAGAGTCTAGGCCTCCCGAATGGGGTCGGAGTAGATGGGGCTGGACGATCGCGCCGTATCGCCGATGCATCAGCGATGCGGCTCGATGATGAGCCCGACTTTCTCCATGCCGACGTCGTCGATGCATCGCCGACGTTGCCAGTACATCGCCGATGCATCGCCGATGTATCGGCAATGCGGCGAGATCCTCCGACCCTATCTGCTCTGACCCAATCGAGGAGGCCTTTAGAGAAATGGTCAGATCGTCAATGCTACCGCGTATGCTGGAGGTTCCCATTATACACTTATATACCCCTATCTCCCCAGCCCCTTCCTCCCAACACGATCGTCGATTTCCTCAATGTGAGCCTTGGGCATTTTTTTCATCCCCTGGCGATTGCTCTAGGCCTCCCAGGTGGGGTCCGAGTAGGTTGGGTCGGAGGATCGTGCCGCATCGGCGATGCGGCTCGATGTGGAGCCCGATTTTCGCCGCGCCGACGCCGCCGATGATTTGCCGACGTCGCCGATACATCGGCGATGCAGCGCGATACTCCGACTCCTATCTACTCGGACCCCATTTGTGAGTCCCCTCGATTTCTGGCGTGACTGGGGGGAGGGGGGAGGGGGCCAGTCACCTCACGATTCGCGCCGATGTTTGTATAAAAACTGCTCATTCCCACACGGCGCCAGCGCGAGTCGGGATGTGACCCAGGGGAGAGGGAGGTGGGGGGGCGGGGCTCGTAGCATCTCTTGGAAGCCCTGTACGTCTTCGGACTTCCGTCTCTAGAGTGCACTGGCGTGCGTTAGCGTCGGGCAGTCGACGAGCAAGCTTCGATGAGCGTCGGTCAGCGTCGGTCAGCCTCGACTCTCGGGAAGCAAAAGCAATGTCAATGATACGCCGCCGTGGGAGCCCATCAGCGCGTTGCTGTTGAAAAAAAGCCCGGCCTCTGGACAACACGACGACGCCTTTAGGACCCTCCTCGTCCCCCCCCCATGGCCAGACCCCCGAGGTCACGATGTGTTCGTTGCGTCGACCCCCCGAGGCCTCGGCCCCCTTCCCCGGGACCGGCGTTCTCCATCCCGAGTCGCGTTCCTGGACGGCCCCGAGGCCGGGCGAGCTCCCCCAAGGAAAGCCGAAAATGCAGGAGGGGAAGAAACACGCAGACACAATGAATCGTCGATTCCCAGGAAAATGTAGAAAAAGATTGGGAAGTGGGGGGGCAGACGAAGACCCAGAAGATATGGGAACATATATGGGGGATCCTTTGTAGTTCTGTGTATTTGTCTTGTGTGTCCCAGGGCCCCTTCAAAAATGGCGAAACCCCGCCCTCCGTGATTTTTGTCCTTGCCCGAGGGGGTCTGGGCCTGGGCTGCCCCCCAATTTACTAGCCTGGGACATATCCCTATCCCTATGCTGGGCATCTCCTCATCACGATGCCAATCTTAGGGATTCCCTTATTTTTTGAGGGCGAATCCCTAAGACTGTCATCGCCTTTTGGCGTGTCAATCTTAGGGATAGGGGTACGTTCGAGGCTGGTAACCAGCTGCCACCCGCCCGAGAGGGCGTCCGGCAGGCCCATGGGCGGCGAGGAGGCGTTCCCTCGAGAGAGAGAGAGAGAGAGAGCGCGCGCCTCCGCGGCGCTCCCCCGCGGCGTGCCCCGGGGCGGCCGCGGCGCCTGGCACACGGCGTGCTCCGGGCCTTGCCAGCCTGAAGTCGGGCCTGTGCCCCGTCAGGGGGATGTTCGACGAAAGGGGAAAAAATACCTCCAAAAATAGTCAAAAGATAGTCCAAAAATAGTCTGGGGACTATTTTTTGCATATGTTTTCTGGCCTTTTTGGGGCATGTTTGGGGGTATGTGTTATTTTTCGTCGAAAATCCCCCTGTAGGGGACACGCCCGACATAATGCCAGCCTCTCGGAGAGCTCCGGGCTGTGCTGGTCGAGTGCCATCGTCGTCCAGGCTCCGCCGTGGGGACCCAGACACGATCGCGTCGCACACAGAAATCAGGGCGGGAGGTTCTTGGCTACGTTCGGCCCCAGGGGTCCCTCGCCGGGCTTCGGGACCGCCACAAAACGACTCAGGACGAAAAGCCGGTCCTTGGGAGGGGGTCGGGACTTCCAGGGACGCCGTCCTGAACAAATCAGGGCGTCGCATGTCTGGGGAGGGAGCCCAGACCCCCTCGCGCTGCCATAGAAGTCGTGACGGCAGGGCTGGGGCGATTTTCGGCCTCCGTGAGGGCCTCTGCCGGGCTTCGGGACCGTCGACAAGAAAACTACCCAGGAGGAAACACGGGTCCCAGGGGAAGGGGTCCGGACCCCTGGGGGTCGGCGCTGTGAAAAAATCGCTGGGTCGGGGGCCCGGGAGCCAGGGAGGGAAGGAGGGAGGGAGGTGCGCGGGCCTCCCGGGACCCCTGGCTGCCTCCTCTCCTCGCGGGGCCTCATGAAGCCCCCACGAGGGGGCATCTCCTTCCCGCAGGCCAAGCCCCTCTTGCATGCGACTTGCCCTCCCACCCGACCAGCGAGCTCCAGATGAGGGTCCACGGAGCAGGAGAAGGGGATGAGGAGGAAGGGGGAGAGGGAGCAAGATGATCTGGGGGCGGGGGAGAAGGCTCAAGAAACAAATGTGGGTGACGAGGGAGTTGTACCGTCTCCCTTGTTTTGGCCCAGGCTTCATCTAGCGAGCTTGCTCCTCCTGACAGGCTCCGTCGGCCTCGCTCATCCGGTGGCGCTCCGGCGGAACAAGCTCCTGTTTGATCCGCGCGGGGAGCAGACACGCAAGACAGGCACGACCTAGATGAGGCCGAGAAAGGACGTTGGATGAGGAGCAGGAGGAGGAGGAGGAGGAGGAGGAGGAGGAGGAGCAGGAGGAGCAGGAGGAGCAGGAGGAGGAGGAGGATCAGTGCGAAGCTGTGGGGCGGCAGACGAGCGCCCCCGCCGACGGCCGCGAGCCTCCCGGCCTGCCCGTGCTCCGCGGCCCAGGCCCGCGAGGCGCTCATCAGCAGCCCCATGCTGCCCAACATCGAGGAGCCGGCCGCGCCCGTCGCCCTCCCGCCGCCCTGCCCTCCCCCCTCCCCTTGGGACGCCCGAAAGGGGTACCTCCTTCCTGAATTTCATTGGTTTTAGGGTTTTAACAAATGGTCGCAGCCACGCAGAGGGCGTGCGCAGCGACGCCCCAGATGCTCGGCCTCCAGTACTTCTACGTGGCGGCGCCCCCGCAGGCACGCAGAGGGCACGCGTGGCGACGGGGGCGTCGCCACGCAGAGCTTCTAAAGACCAAGCATTTTGAAAACCAATTGCTTCCACTACTAAAGTACGGAAAGAATGGGTACACTGCCCAACAGCAGCTCCTGTCCACTCTGAACAGGGCTCGCGGTCGGTGTCGCCGCGGCCCGTGCCCACTTGAGGCAGAAGGCCGCGTGCCCAACAGCGGCCGCTGCTGGTTTGGGACAACATTTGTTGTTGGGCATTGTATGGGGCATAAAAAGTGGCATAAACCTAAAAACTCAGAGGTCCGCGCGGATTTCTCGGATCGGCGCTGGACCCCCCTCCCTGGCGCGCGGAGCGCGCCAGGGGCGGCGCCGGAGGCGCCGCTGGGGGGCCCCAGCGCCGATCCGAGAAATCCGCGCGGACCTCTCAGTTTTTATGCTTATGTCACTTTTTGTTCCCCTAATTGTGCCCACTCTTTCCGCACCCATTTCGGGCGTCCAAGGACTCCCGCCTGGTCCTCTGCCTTCCCCCGGAGTCAGAGAAGATCAAACCACCGCATAAACCTCCTCCTCCTCCTCCTCCTTAGATCCAGGTCGGGGGGCCTCTGCGTGCCTGAGCTTCGCCCGGGGCCAGAAGAGGCCCTTCGCTCCTTGACAGCGTGGGGGCCATGCCCAGAAACACCACGCTTGCCTCCAGGATGCCCCCTGGGTTTCTGGGGTTCGATGGTTTTTCGATGGGAAGAGAGCTCGACGTGCCCACACGAAGCATCAATGGACGTCCTGGGGTCTCTTGTGGAAGGTTCTCTTGTGGAAGGTTCTCTTGTGGACTGGCCTCCACTATATTCAGCGCTCTTTCTGGTAGCACGATGGCTGTACTACCAAGTCCCCCCAGGTTCCACCGCCGTGCGAAGGCAACTGACGTCGCATCGAGCAGGCGAGAGCGAGCTAGCGAGCTCCTCCCACTCCCGCTCCTCCCTCTCCCTGCCTCGCACCTGGGCGTTGTCGCAGGATGAGGAGGCGGAGCAGGAGGAGGATCAAACGCAACAAGGGGGGGAATAGGCATAGGGGGGAAGCATTGACCCCCAATCTCCCGTTGATCGCCGATAGGGGTCCGATAGCCCAAGTCTGCCCAGGAACGTTCGGATTCACGATCGGGGGCCTGTCGCCGATCTATCGGCGGTGTGTCGCCGATGCCAGGTCGAGGTGCCGTCCCCTGTGCCAGTCCCCTCCCCCGATGGGTGCCCCTCAGAGGACGGGGGAGGGAGGAGGACCGACGCGGAGGGGGGGGGGGGGGGCAAGGGGGAAGAGGGGAGGAGGTCGAGGGAGCAGGAGCGGCTGGAGCAGGAGGGAGAGCAACACACGGGCGCAGAGGCACGCGAGCGCCACGAAGACGACCTCAAGCGATTGGTCCGATCGGCCGAAGGGGGTCTAGCTGAAAGGGGGTGATGCAATAGAATTTGATGCAATAGATTTGTGGGCTTGGAACAGAGTTGGGGCGTGCCATACGTTCCGGTGCGCAAGTGTATTGCTGGATTTTCGCGTGCGACGCATAAGATGCAGTTCGCTGCAGTACATTTTTCCGGCGCAATTCGTTTGCAATACGCGTGTCCCAAATCTATTGCACCATTTCCTTTCAGTTAGACCCCCTTTTGGGCTCAACCAAAGAGTAGGGTCGTGGCAGTTTACGTCGCCGCGAGGCGAGCGGGTCGTGATTGCTCGTGATGTTTGGCCTGCCGGGGCCTTTAACGATTCCCGAGACTGCCAGGACGGGATTCCGTCGGGTGTTGTTTGTCACGGGGGGCGGCGAAGGTGGCGTGGAGCTGGACGCCCGGAATGGGTCCGGCAAGAATGGGTACAGTGCCCAGCAGCAGCTCCTGTCCACTCTGGACAGGACTCGCTATCCGCGCCGCCGCGGCCTGTGCCCACTTGAGGCAGAAGGCCGCCTGCCCAACAGCGGCCGCTGCTGGTTTGGGACAACGTTTGTGGTTGGGCGTTGTGCCCACTCTTTCGGTACCCATCTTGGGTGGTTCAAAGTGGATCGAGGGCTGCAGGAGAGCGCCTTCTCGTTCTCCTGCAGCGCGGGGCCTCCCCTCGAAACATTTACGAGCTGCTTCCAACCTCGTGATTCTTCTCTTGCTCATGGTTTTGCCGACCGGCGCGAGCCTTCGCACCCCTCCCTCCCCCCCCTCCCCATAGAGGCCCCAACGATGAGTTCATGCAGAAATTTGTTCATACATTAATCATGTATTAAAAATCATTATCCCGGCAAAGCAACCTAACAACGATGTGTAGGAGCATATCTGGAAGCATTCCCCTTACGATTCAGATGAGAATCCAGTTGTAGAATTCTGCTGTTCTCGCAGTCGTAGTCGCATTCGCGATGACAGTCGCAGTGGCAACGGCAGTCGCAGTCACAGCCTCAGCCTCAGCCTGCCTCAGCCTCAGCCTCAGCCTGCCTCAGCCTCAGCCTGCCTCAGCCTCAGCCTCAGCCTGCTTCAGCCTCAGCCTCAGTCTGCCTTCAGCCTCGGCCTCAGCCTCAGCCTGCCTCAGCCTCAGCCTCAGCCTCAGCCTCAGCCTCAGCCTCAGCCTCAGCCTCAGCCTGCCTCAGCCTCAGCCTGCATCAGCCTCAGCCTCAGCCTCAGCCTGCCTCAGCCTCAGCCTGCCTCAGCCTCAGCCTCAGCCTGCCTCAGCCTCAGCCTCAGCCTGCTTCAGCCTCAGCCTCAGTCTGCCTTCAGCCTCGGCCTCAGCCTCAGCCTGCCTCAGCCTCAGCCTGCATCAGCCTCAGCCTCAGCCTCAGCCTGCCTCAGCATCAGCCTGCCTCAGCCTCAGCCTCAGCCTGCCTCAGCCTCAGCCTCAGCCTGCCTTCAGCCTCAGCCTCAGTCTGCCTTCAGCCTCGGCCTCAGCCTCAGCCTGCCTCAGCCTCAGCCTGCATCAGCCTCAGCCTCAGCCTCAGCCTGCCTCAGCATCAGCCTGCCTCAGCCTCAGCCTCAGCCTGCCTCAGCCTCAGCCTCAGCCTGCTTCAGCCTCAGCCTCAGTCTGCCTTCAGCCTCGGCCTCAGCCTCAGCCTGCCTCAGCCTCAGCCTGCCTCAGCCTCAGCCTCAGCCTCAGCCTCCCTCAGCCTCAGCCTGCAGCCTCAGCCTCAGCCTCAGCCTCAGCCTGCCTCAGCCTCAGCCTGCCTTCAGCCTCAGCCAGCCTCAGCCTCAGCCTCTGCCTCAGCCTCAGCCTCAGCCTCAGCCTGCCTCAGCCTCAGCCTCAGCCTGCCTCAGCCAGCCTCAGAGCCAGCCTGCCTCAGCCTCAGCCTCAGCCTCAGCCTCAGCCTCAGCCTGCTTCAGCCTCAGCCTCCTTCAGCCTCGGCCTGCAGCCCTCCTCAGCCTGCAGCCTCAGCCTCAGCCTCAGCCTGCCTCAGCCTCAGCCTGCCTCAGCCTCAGCCTCAGCCTGCCTCAGCCTCAGCCTCAGCCTGCAGCCTCAGCCTCAGCCTCAGCCTCAGTCTGCCTTCAGCCTCGGCCTCAGCCTCAGCCTGCCTCAGCCTCAGCCTGCCTCAGCCTCAGCATCAGCTTGCCTCGGGAATGGAGTTCTAGGAACTCGAAGACCACGAAGTGGCCTACAGTTGGCTCTGGGCATTCAAGCCCGGGAATGGAGTTCTGTGAACTCGAAGAGCACGAAGTGGCCTACAGTTCGCTCCGGGCATTCAAAATGTGGCCTGGGAATGGAGTTCTGGGAATGCGAAGACCACGAAGTGGCCTACAGTTCGCTCCGGGCATTCAAAATGTGGCCCGGGAGTGGAGTTGTGGGAAGTGGAAGAGCACGAAGTGGCCTACAGTTGGCTCCGGGCATCCAAAATGTGGCCCGGGAATGGAGTTCTGGGAGCTCGACGACCACGAAGTCGCCTACAGGTGGCGCCGAGCATCCAAAATGTAGCCCGGGAATGGCGTTCTGGGAGCGCCAAGAGCGATTTTGCGAGGATGTCCCAGGCGATTTGGGTTCCGACGGCAGCAGCCGGATTCTGTCTGGGTTCCGCCCAGACCCCCCTGAGGAGTCATGATGCTCTCTTTTGACCCTACTAGAAGCCTATCAGTCTTCGGTGTTAGGTAATATTTGTTTTAAATCCTATGTATTAAAAACTGCCCTGTAGAGTAGATCTTGACTGATTGTGGGCGCCTGCCTCAAGCAGGAGGAGTCTCCTCCACAGGGCGCACGGTTGCAAGCAGTCGCACTACGCACTACGCAGAGGTCTGGAGCCAAAGTCCCCTCGCCCTTTCGCTTTGTGTCGAAGCGCTGAATAAAAAGACGTTCAACTTACACCTTGGAGCCAGCTGCTGTTCTGCACATGGCACATTGCATCTGGCTTTGGCTGGAAGGCTTGCCTCCGTGACAGGCCTCGAGTACCATTCAAAGCACCATCACCATCATGGTCATCATCATCATCATCATCATCATCATCATCATCATCATCATCATCATCATCATCATCATCATCATCATCATCATCATCAACAGCATCATCAGCATCATCATCATCAACAACATCATCGTCATCATCAGCATCATCACCATCATCACCATCATCATCGTCGTCATCATCACCATTATGTTTATGGTGTGCGCACTCGCCACGGCAACCGTTCACCGGACCGTCGTCACCCCCCTCTGCGTGGGCAGTCCCTATGCCCGCAACACGTGTTGGATGCGCTCAGCTGCAGCACCTCTGGCCCAGAGCATGCTTGCACCTTCCTTTGCGCAGACCTCGCTTGTCTGCTCGCATGGCTTATATTCACGACTCTTGTGCACTGCCTGCGCTCGCACGAATTGTACAATCATGAGGTGGAGTCTCGGACCTCTCTTCAGGGCCGCCGGCCTGCGCCGCCCATCCGGGGCGCTCCTAGTGCTTGAGGGCCGCTACTGCGCACCGAGGAGCGAAGAGATTTGAGGTTCGAGGTTCGGGTTGACCCAAAAGGGGGTCCAGCGACAAGGGGGTGGTGCAATAGATTTGGTGCAATAGATTCGTGGGGTTGCAATACATTTGGGGCGTGCAATACATTCAAGGGCGCAAATGTATTGCTGGCTTTTCGCGTGCAATACATTTTACAACACAATGCAATCCAATTCTCTGGCGAAACACATGTGCAATACAATTGCCCCACATCTATTGCACCACCCCCTTCAACTGGACCCCGTTGTGGGTCTCCCAAAGAGGTGTTCCGATTTCTTCGCTGGTTCTTAGTTCAGCGCCTTCGCCTCCGAGCAAAACCGAGGCACCTCTTGCCTGGCAGCGCAAGAGGCGGCGCCTCTTCGAAACTCGTGGTGACCTTTCGCGGGCTTCTTGGAGGTTTCTTGGTGCCTCTTGGGGACCTCTTGGAGGCCTCGTGGGGCCTCATGATGGTTCCTCGGAAGCCTCTTGGGAGGTTGGGAAGTCGTCTTGGGGTGAAGGTCTCGAAGTGTCAGTTCGAGATTTCCTCTTGGGGCCGTCTCTGGGGCATCATGTGGTCTCTTTGGAGCCTCTTTCGACATCTTTGGAACCTCTAGGGCTGTATTAGGGTCTACTTGAAGGCCTCTTGGGCTGTTTAGGGGCGGTCTTGGGGGCCTCTTGGACCGCCGTGGGAGCCCGTGAAACCGAACATGCGATATTGCTAAAATCCAGAAAATTAGGGCCTTTGGAGGGCCTCCTGGGGCCTCATGGAGACTTCTGGGGGGTCCTCTTGGGGCCTTCTGTGGGGTTCTCTTGGGGCCCTCTTGAAGCGTCTTGGAGACTTCGTGGGCCGTCTTGACGCCATCTTGGACATCCCGGAACGCTCTTTGGCCGTCTCGTGCGCTTCTTGGACCGTCTTGGTGGCCTCCTGGGCCCCTTTTGGCCCGGCTTGGGGCGCTTCGGGAATTTCGTGCCTTCCCCCTCCACCCCTACCCCAGAAGAGCTCGCCCGTCTCTCCCCCCCGCAGATCTGAAGCTCAGATTGTAGGGGTTGGAGTTTCAGCACAGCTGAAGCCTGAACCTTGCCTCTTCAAAACTCACTCGCCGGGTCTGCGCAGGTAACTTCTATTTCATCGATGGTTCCCTTTGTAGATGTAGCCTTCCGTGCAGTCATGCACCTTGTTGGATATCCGAAGGAAGGACAGGTCTTGATATCCGCGGGCGGTCTCTGACGTTAGCTCGGGGATCGAAGGGGCACAGGGGCGCACAGGGAGGAGGGGAGCCTGAGGGGAGCCGCGTTTTTCAATGCAGGACACGTTCCCCCTCTTCCACGACGACCAGACTGACAGCAGCCAGTTCGACAATATCATGGAGGCCGCGCAGCTGCGATGCCCCAGCATTCGTGCGGAGATGGTCGTGGATGGCTTGTCATCGGGGGGTTGCGAGAGCTGGCTTGTGTTAAAGAGATCCAAGATAGCGTACGTCCCCCCGCGCGTGGAGTGGCGCGTGGGCTGCACGGCTGGCGACAGGGCGAGCAATGAGCCCGACATCAGGTGGCTCGGATTCAACTCCCGGGAGGTCAATTTCTGACTTCGCCCTGGTCAGGAATCCCGTCTCGTCCGGCTTCATCCCGCTCGATCGTGCTTAATTCACCCTAGTCCTGTTCAATCCCGCTGAATCCGCGGCCGAATTCGGCGTAGCAACTCCCCGATGGGGCTTAATCCTCTTTACTGCCGATGAAGACCTCCCAGTAGTTGCTTCCTAAAGGTGGCATGCAACGCCCCTGGATACGCAGGAATCGTCATCCCACGAGCCGCGGGCACGCGTTGGCGTGCGCGCGCGACACGGGGGGGGGGGGCCAGAGGCCACCACATCAGGAGCGCCGCCGCGGGCGCTGCCTTTCTTGGAGCATGCGGGGCTAGCCTGAAGTCGGGCATGTCCCTCTACAGGAGGAATCTCAAACAAATGATCAACGAAGTAGATTGGGGATGTTTATGTATATATATATATATATGTTTATCTATATATAAAACGCATGTGTGTGTTATGTTTGAACGTTTGTGGAACATTATTTTCGTCCAAAATCCGCCTGTAGGACGACATGCCCGATCTAAGGCTAGCCGCGGGACGAGAGAAGTCGAAGAACAGATAACATCATACACCTACACTGTTCGGCGCTCCATGAAGATTTCTTGGGTCGGCGCTGGTCCCCATTGGCGGCGCCTCCGGCGATGCCCCTGGCGCGCTCCGCGCGCCAGGGAGGGGGTGGTCCAGCGCGGATCTCAGAAGTCCAGGCGGAGCGCCAACAGTTTGTCTTTGTGCCTTTTTGTTATTCTTCTGCTTCTTCTTCTTCTGACAAGAGCGCACGAGCACGGCAAGAGCACGGGCACAGCAGCAGGCAGGGCAGGCGCACGCGCGCCGTTGGGTCGCGGGCGGAGTGTCCGGAACCAAAGCGTGCACCGAAACATTCGGAGGTCCGCGCGGGTTTCTCGGAACGGCGTTGGGGCCCCTTGGCGGCGCCTTCGGCGCCACCCCTGGCGCGCTCCGTGCCTCCTGTGTGCCCTGGGTTTCGCGATGATTTCTGCTGCTGTGTGACGGCTCCCGCACCAAGAGTCCATGGACGTCTTGGGGTCTCGGGGTTGGGTTTCTCGTGGAAGGTCTCTTGTGGCCGAGCCCCTGCTGTAGGGAGGAGGAGGGAGGAGGAAGGAGGGAGGAGGGAGGAGGAGGAGGGATGAGGAGGAGGAGGAGGAAGAGGAGGAAGATGAGGAGGAGGAGGACTCTAAAGTGAGCTGGGCGTTGCATGTGAGTGGGCAGTTGGGACCACCAGCCGCTCGTCCAGGGCTCCTGGAGAAGTCGTGCGGGGCGCCCCGGCGGCGTCCGGAAGGGCCAGTGACGATGCTCGGAAGCCGATGATGACGCGTGGAGGGCAGTGTGGATCACCAGCCGCTCGTCCAGGGCTCCTGGAAAAGTCGTGCGGGGCGCCCCGGCAGCGCGCGGAAGCGCCCGAGAATTTGGTACGTAGAGGCCCTGAAAGGCGGTAGGAGCCGTCCATGCAGGGAACAAGGACCTGAGGGCGCTCCGCTCAATCCTTCGCGACACGGTGTTGGATGTTCCCGTTGCTTCACTGGGTGAACGACTGCAAGCGCTGGTATGTTTTGCTGGCGCACTTCAATGTAGAGGGTGCATCCACGATGTGTCGGCTGATGTTGGGTTCACGCTCCCCATGCAGTTGTGCTTGTATGTTCGACAGGCGATGCTGCAACGTTGTCGTGTCGTTCGGCTAATTGGTCATGTCCTGAACGGTTTGGAAAGTCATGTGTCTAGTCATGTGTTCATGACTTTTTGTTGACGTCGACGCACGACATATTCACTGTCGAGCACGGGGCGTTATGAACTTGAACACAGGCATCCACATCACGCGCCGAATGATTAATGACCACGGGGTGCATTTGCGCATGATCATGCGCACATGTTGCAGAAGTGCAACGGTGCGGATATGACTGCGCAATGGTCTTGGAGGCAGGACAGTCCCATAACACTTGCGCTGCAAGCCGCATTATTATGTAGCCGATGTGGCGCACTCGAGTCAAGCAGCTGCGTTAGAACTCTCCCCCTCATCAGCCCTTTCTAGTCCTCTCTGGCCCACCCGTCCACACTCGTTTCTTGCCTAGACCTCCCTGCTCCCCCCCTTCCTTTCCGCTCGCCTTCCCAGGTGATCGCACTGGGAGGCCGACCCCTGGCAGAGGTGGCCATGCTGATGGTCCCCCAGGCGGGCACCCCCCTATCAAGCCCGCTCGCTGTCGAGGCTGAAGTGGGCTCTGAGGGAAAGTTGAGAGAGCGAGTCTGATGAACAGTTTCACGGAAAAACCCAAGGCTGTCTGTCAGGTGAGGCCAAACGTACCCCAGAACAGACGGAGTAGATGTTTTTCGCCCTGGCTGGCTGTCGCCCGGTTCGTTGCCCGGTTCATTTCGCAAGGGGTTGTTTTCGCCCGGTTGGCTTTCGCGCAGGTTCGCATTCGCCCGGGTTGGTTTTCGCTCAGGTTGGCTTTAGCTCAGGTTGGCTTTCGCCCGTGTTGGCTTTCGCCCGGGTTTGTGTTTCGCCCGGGTTGGTTTTCGCCGGGGTTGGCTTTCGCCGGGGTTGGTTTTCGTTCAGGTTGGTTTTCGCTCAGGTTGGCCTTCGCCCGTGTTGGCTTTCGTCCGGGTTGGTATTTCGCCCGGGTTGGTGTTTCGCCCGGGATGGCTTTCGCTTGGGTTCGTTTTCGCCCTCCTCTTCCTCCTCTCCTCCTCCCACTTTGCGCCCAGATTGGGGGGATGTCTCGGGCGGTTTTATTGTTTGGTTCCCTTACATCCTTTTCTTTCGGTTCAGTTCCCGAGGATGCCTCATGTGAGGCGTTCGTTGGGTTCAGTACTCCCAAGACGGGGCGCCAGGGGGTTATCACAGGCCCGTTTGTTCCCAGATTGGGGGGATGTCTCAGGCGGTTTGCCTGTTTGGGTGCTCAACATCCTTCTCTTTCGGACGGAGCAGTTCCCGAGGATGTCTCAGGCGAGGCGCTGGTTTCAGTACTCACAAGGGGGGGGCGCCAGGGGGTATTGCACAGGCCCGTTTTCGTCTTCACGGATGGATTTTCCTGACAGGTGCCCATGGGGAAAGCAGGAGAAAGAGGAGGATGGCAAAAGGGAGGACGAGGAGGACGGAAGGAGGAAGCAACTATTTAAAGCTTTCGTAGTCGTCGGCGTCTGCCTTCCGGCCTCGTTTTCCACGCGGATTCGCTGGCACTCGGATATTGAGAAAGACAATGTCTTCTGCCGAAGTTTACCATCACTATGAGATGCACATATGGGGGTCTCCGCGTCGAGACTTTTTTCTCGGCCGCCGATGGCGCAACCTATGGCGCAACCGATAGGAGACGGTTTTATTGTCTGCGGCCGAGGGCGCAATCTTTGGCGCAACCCATAGGGGACGGTTTTATTCTCGGTGGCCGAGGGCGCAACCTATGGCGCAACCGATCGGAGACGGTTTTATTCTCGGCCGCCGAGGGCGCAGCCCATGGCGCAACCGATAGGAGACGGTTTTATTTTCGGCGGCCGAGGGCGCAACCGATGGCGCAACCAATATGAGACGGTTTTATTCTTGGCCGCCGTGGGTGCAACCTTTGGCTCAACCGATAGGAGACAGTTTTATTCTCGGCCGCCGAGGGCGCAATTTATGGCGCAACCGATAGGAGGCTGTTTTATTCTCGGCGGTGGAGGGCGCAGTCTATGGCGCAACCGATAGGGAACGGTTTTATGTTCGGCGGCCGAGGGCGCAACTTACGGCGCAACCGACAAGAGACGGCTTCATTCTCGGCCGCAGAGGGCGCAACCTATGGCGCAACCTATGGCGCAACCTGTAGGAGACGGTTTTATTATTGGTGGCCGAGGGTGCAATCTATCTTTGGTGGTCGAGGGCGCAACACAAGGCGGAACCGTTTGGAGACGGTGTTATTCTCAGCGGCCGAAGCGCGACCGATGGCGCAACCGACAGGAGACGGTTTTATTTTCGGCGGCCGAGGCTGCAATTTCTGGGTGCCCATGGTACGACCAGGACGCCGTCAACGCACTCACCGTGCTGGGGGCCCGCGGGTAGTACGAGGACGAAGCGAGGGCATCCCAATGCGTGAGGAGCTGCGCCCGACGTGTGCTCGCCGTTGGGGCTGGCGGTGGGGCCCTAGCGGCGAGGAGCTGTCTTCTGATTGTAAGTGTCGGGCCCCGGACCCCCCCACAAACCCCCCAAGCTTCCCCCTTTCCCCCCCGGGATCCGGGGGGACAAACATGTGAAACACTCCCCCACTCGGGGGTTGTTCGGGGGCTTCCCGCGGGGGGGGGTTCCAGAGAGCTCCCACGCTGGTCTCGGAGGGCCTGTCCACCAAGCCCGGGGCCTACGATGGGCCTGGCCAGGGCTGGTGGTGGTGTACTGTTTGGGCCTCCTCCCTCCTGCCTCCTTCCTCCTCCTCCTCCTCCTCCTCCTCCTCCTCCTCCTCCTCCTCCTCCTCCTACCTACGGCAGTGGTGCTTGGAAGATCGGCCCGCCAGTGCGGCCCACCCGCCCAGTGCATACGGGGTGGCCACGATGGCGACACCCCGTCAGGTCCTGGCGCTACGCGCAAGCCTCGACGGCTTCTTCTGGGCCCACCTGGCTCGAGGCGTGCCGCGGAAAGAGGGCGTCCGGGTTGCCAGCCGTGTTCTCGTCGCGGCGTTGCGGACTCCTCCACGACGTGGAACCTCGGGGTCGGTGGTGGGCCCCGTGCCAAGATGCCTCTGCCCGCCAGTGGTTCTGAGGTTCGCGCGTCTGCTGCCCGCTCCTGCTAGCCAGAACGCTCGGGCCCACAAAAAGCGGCGTGCACTTCCTCCGAAGCCATTTTGGCTCAAGGATCAAGTCCACAATATGGACACCGTCACTGTACTTGATCCATTCTCCCGCCTACTATAATCAGCGCGTGGGCGATGTTCCTGACTGTCTGGCCGCATTCGGTGGCCGCTTATTGTTCACCTGTGCAGTTCAGGTCGGAGCGTTGCATGCGAAGTCGACGGCTGAGTTGGATACATTGTCGGATGTGTGGAGCTTCTCTCATTTCGTCGATGCTGTGTACTCCGACGACAAAGTTCGCATGCGATCTGCACGCAAAAGTGTCAAATCTCTTGTGAAGCAAATTACTTCAACTATAAGTTCAAGGCAACATCTTGTAACACGACTGCCAAGGTTCGCAATGTGCTACTCGAATGTGTGTTTGCCCTTGTGGCCAAGATTAATGACAATCAGTCCTTCGACGCGTTCACTCAGTCGTCCTACAACGCTGTACGACGCTTCCATCCACATTATGCTGTCATAGTCGTCGGCAACGCGTTTCAAACTACGTTTGGTGCCCAAGTGGTGGCTTTCGTGCAAAACGATCCTGGCACACTATACTTGAGATTGGCGGCTACAGACGGGCACTGACGAGTGCCGGCAAGAGGCATTGAAAAGTAGGTGGGTGGGTGCTTTTGCAGGCAGCAGCCGTGCTTGCAACCATTGCCTCTTACATCTTTGCCGTGCAAAGTCACATCTGTCTTCGAGGTGGGTGTGCACCGTCCTCCATGCGGCCTGCCAGAGTTCACCCGGGCGGAGTACGACGCATTCCGTCAGAGGACCGACGGAAAAGTCAATTTTGCAGCGATGGGAATGCTTGAATTCCGACGCCTCCGACACGAAGTTCTTCTTTGGAATCAATACTAGAGGCCCGTGTGTACAGAGGATCCTGGCAACCCCGAGGAGACCGTGCCGTCTGCGATGCACAGCATGTTCATCGCCACGGCTGAAGGTTCATCAGGCCTGGAAGACGTGGGCTTCTTTTCCATGCGACTTGAGAAGAAGGCAGAGAGTACTTTCATGGAAGGGTTTAGTGGAGTCTTCCTGGCTGCCCTGGACTCTGTGAACGGTTCGTGCTTCATCGGTACGAAGAGACTCTATCTCGACCATGGAAGAGGTTCAGGTGCAGGCGCTCTAGCCAAGCAGCATGGGTCCCCCAGCGGTTGGGATCAGGGACTCTTCGCTAGCTTTCTTAGTTTCATCAGCGCAGTCGATGCCAGTAGGGACACGTTGGTGGATGCTGCGGAGATTGCAGACGCGAAGGCTCACCGCCCAGCGCAGTTTGGCCCGACACTTGCAAGTCTGTGCACAAGCATTGTAAATGAAGATCCATTTCAAAAGGTTATGGGCTGCACGCCGTAGTTACCAGGACTCGCGGGAGTGGAACGCTTGGCCCCCTGGCGGCGCCTCCGGCGCCGCCCCTGGCGCGCTCCGCGCGCCAGGGAGGGGGCCCAGCACAGATCCAAGGAAATAGACTCCCTCCCTTGGTGTCAAGCAGGGCGGCCTCCCCGCCCAGGCCTTTCTGCAAGGCGCAGCAGTGCAAAGGCAGAGAGGGGGGGAGCGAGCATAGTGATCGTTTTCTGATGTATTGTTTTGCCGATCGGCGCGGGGCCTCGCACCCCCGCACCCCTCTTTCATGGAGCAGATCCTGGCTGTGTTGGGGCCTGCTTCAGGCAGGCGTCGCCCCTCCCCCATAGGACGCACTGTTGCAAGCAGTCGCATCCAGCAGAGGTCTGGAGCCAGACACCCCCCCCCTTCCGCCCAGTGTTGAAACTGCACAAGAAACCGATCACACACTCCAGGACACTCGGGGGTGGATAGACCTCCTACCCTGATGCGTCGATTAGCGAATTCTTGACGCTTCGCGTATCCCCGCCAGCAAGCAATCCCCCTGGACCCAGCCCCACAGGCAGCGCTGGCGCGGCGCCAGAGATCACCTCCCTGGCAGGGTCCCCGCCATCTGGCGCGTGTTCTGGTGGCGACGACAGGCCAGATACTCCCATGGCTGCCGACACAGACAGGTCTCAGGGTTCAGCGGACAACGACTCACGCATGGGCCACCATGACCCGCCCGACGACCACAACGGTGAAGGCGCGGAAGACGGGCTCCCCCTTCACAAGATGGAGCCCGACTACGGAGAGGATGAACCCGCCCGTCCTCCCACGCCTTCCGAGTCGGCCCAGGAGGGTGATGATAGTCGCTCAGGCGGCGATGCCCCACAGCGAAGCCCGTCGGCGGGCAGCTCTGACACCAGCCGCGAGGACACCGCGACTTCAGTCGCAGAAGATACGCCCTACGCCGATCGCAGGAGGGCTCCAGCCCGAGACCCCGCGAGGCACGAGAGGACCAGCGACGGTGGCGGCTCGCGGTGCGTGCACTTTCCCGCGCCCACCCCGACGCCCCCTGAGCGGAGGCCCCATTACTCTCGCCATGCTGGCTCTTCGGAGCAGGACGCACTCAACCTGTTGTCCTGCCCTGATGGAGGCGGCCCAATGTACAAAGTCAGGCTGGGCACCGTCGAACTCGAACGTCCCGGCGAGACACCAGCCAGTCGCATACCCAGGCTTCAGTCGCATCTGGGAGCAGTCTTTTGCGCACTGTGGACAGCGAACACGCAGCGTACCCTGCTCCCTGGATGGAGGGCGCCCAAGTCCGACCCGAAACTACACATGCCCTCGGATATCAGCAACTTCCAAGAGGCCTGGAAGGACTGCGGGTACGACGCCTACGAGATGTACAGGAGGCTGGGCTACGATATCGACTGGAACAGGATACGTGCCAACTACCTGCGTCACTCCGAGACAGACGACAGGAGCAAAGGCGGCTATCGCCACACGGGCTGGCGCGACCGTGCGACAAGTTCCTGGGACACCTGGAGCAGTTGGCAGGGCGAGTGGAGCGACGGATGGCGCGAAGATCACTGGCAGGCGGGTGGCAAACGCGGCGGAGGTTACCCTGATGATCGGGATGATCGAGAGGAACAGAGACTCCGCTGGAGAGACTGAACTCCCTCTCGGCCCCTGCCGCGCCCCAGTGCCCGCGCCCCACCTGCGCTGCACAACGCGCCACCGCGGCCCTCGGCCGCTCTTTCCTTCAACCTGGGGCTGCACTACCTCCCCTCTGAACGGCACCCTCTCTCACCCTTGGACCTTGGGGTGCCGTTCGGTAGTGCCGTCTGCTCCCCGCGTGACACCGCGCGCGCAGACCAACTTGCCACTGGCATCGCTGCCTGTCTCCACCGGTGGCCGCCGCCCCCTTGCCGCTCGGCTCCCCCTTTCCTCGCCTCGGCTGCACTTCCTGAATTCCAGCGAGCGCTGCCCAGGCCGTGCCGTGGGCCCCTAATCGCGGCGCTCTGCCGCCCTCCACCCGTTACGCGCACCTCCTGCCTTTGGATCCAGGTGCGCGCTTCGGCAATACCGTCCACCGCCTCTCCGCAGTGGACTCGCGGCCTCTGGCCCTACTGTAGATGTCTCACCGCCAGGCCTTCCAGGCCTGTCAGTGGGCCACGGCTCGCCTGTCCACTGGCTTCCCCCTGGACTTTCTAACCGAACGAACGGCCTTCCGCCGCCACCCTGGACCTCTCAACAAGCAGCACGGCCTTCCGCCGGCACCCTGGATCCAAGTGGCTCTGAGGGACGCGTCTTGGGTACAAGCCGCTCTCGTCCCTCTGGTGCTTGACGACTCGGTTGGGTTGCGCTGAGTCACCTTAGATGTGCATACTCCTCGGGGTCTGCCGTGTATCGTGCTCTCGGCGCCCTTCCACTCGTCGGATCTAGGCTGTCGCATCTCAGTTGTGGAAGGTACTCTCGTCATCATGCTCCACACCCTGGATGCGCTTTCTTGCGTCGCGACCTGGTTCGCTGTCAGCTTTTTCCGTTGGGCTGTCCCCAGACAGCCTGTGGTACCCCCAGGCTCCCTGGATCGGTGACCTCGGGAACTCTCTATGCTGGACGGCTTTCCACACAAGCAGCACGGCCTTCCGCCGTCACCCTGGATCCAGTGGCTCTGAGGGACGCGTCTTGGGTACAAGCCACTCTCGTCCCTCTGGTGCTTGACGACTCGGTTGGGTTGCGCTGAGTCACCTTAGATGTGCATACTCCTCGGGGTCTGCCGTGTATCGTGCTCTCTGCGCCCTTCCACTCGTCGGATCTGGGCTTTCGCATCTCAGTTGTGGAAGGTACTCGTGTCATCATGCTCCACACCCTGGATGCGCTTTCTTGCGTCACGACCTGGTTCGCTGTCAGCTTTTTCCGCTGGTCTGTCCCCAGACAGCCTGTGGTACCCGTCAGGCTCCCTGGATCGGTGTCCTCGGGAACTCTCAATGCTGGACGGCCTCCCACCGTGACCCTGGATCAGTGGCCTTGAGGGACTTGCCTGGGTATACGCGGTCTCGTCCCGCTTGTGCTCTCCGACTCGTTCTGGACAGCACTGAGACACTCTGATGTGCACACGCCGCGTTTCGATCGTGTTGCGTGCATCAGGCGCCCTTCCACCCGCCGGGTCTGGGCTGAAGCATCTCGGTGTCGAAGTTTCTCGGAACATTTTCACACTTTGATGCCGTTCTGGCGTCGCGGCTCGCTGCCGCCGTCGGGATCCCCGCTGGACTTACGTCCCCAGTCGTCTGTGCTACTTGTCAGGCTTGGGTCGACGTCCTCGGGTACGTTCCTCTCGTTCGCACCTGGACGTTGGGACGTCTCGCGCCATTTTGGCTGCGCTTGGTCTCCTCGGTGCCTACTTCAGGCCCGTTGGCCGCACCGCTGCATGCCCTTTCAGGGGCTGCCTCTGGCTCCTGGATTGCCTTGGCTCCGCCGCCCTGGACGCTGTCGTGAGCCGCCTGATCCGCGGCCCCGCGCGCGTTTGGTAATTTAGTCGCGTCCGCGGCCCGTTCGCGACCTCCCGCCGCTGGCGCTTCCGCCTGCGGCTGTAAAAAAATATCCCCGCCAGCCCATCCAGTAACGATGCCCAGGCGAATGGAGATGATCAGGGAAGTGAGGGAGCATACAGAGTAACAAAGGGCTGGGGAGCCCGTCTTACCCAAGACGGCGAGGATGGAGGAGGAATCGGAGGAGGATGAGGAGGAGGAGGAACTGAAGGAGGAGGAGGGGGAGCGGGAGGAGGGAGGAGGGAGGAGGAGCAACAGGCGGATGATGATGATGAGGAGGAGGAGGAGCAGGACGAGAATGAGGAGGAGGAGGAGGAGGAAAAGGGCGAGCAGAATGGCCAGAGGCCTCTTGGATGCCTCTCGGAGTCTCTTCGGATGTCTCTTGGGAGCGTCCTGAATGCCTCTTAGGGCGTCTTGGGAGCGTCTTGGCGGTCCCGGGGGCCTCTTGGGGCGTCTTGGGTGCCTCGGGGAGCCTCTTGGGGACCTCTTGGGGCCATCTTGGGGCCATCTTGGGGCCATCTTGGCGCCATCTTGGCGCCTCTTGGGGCCTCCTGGGCGCCTCTTGGGGCCATCTTGGAGGCGATCGATCAAAGAAGAGGGTGGGGTTAATTCGCCCTGCCCCTCTAGATCCTCTAAAATCGCCTCTTGGGCTCATCTTGAGGCGCTCTTGGAGCGCTCTTGGGCGCTCTTGGGGCCGTCTTGAGGCTCTCTTGGGCCCCTCTTGGGGCTATCTTGGGCCCTCTTGGAGCCATCTTCAGGCCTCGGAAGGCCATCGGAAGCGAAAAGGCGAGAAAGCAACATTCATTCGTTTTCTTTTGGTTTTTGAAGGATTTTGGCCTCTTGGGGGGTCTCTTTGGAAGTCTCGGAGGCCTCTTGGAGTCGTCTTGGGGCGATCTTGGGGCCTCTTGGAGCATCTGGGGAGCCATCTTCAGGCATCTTGAGCTATCTCGAGGCAGGCATCTTGGAGGTCGTCTTGGCCTCTCCGAGGCCCTCTTGGAGCCGTCTTAGGCCATCTTGGACGCTCCAACGCGTCGCGGAACCCCCCGTCCAGGTCCAGGGGAGGGGGTTAGGGGGAGAGGTAAACCCCTCCCCGAAGGGGAAGGAGGGAAGATGGAAGAGGAAACTCCCTAAACCACCTACGCCCAGAGGGCTGGTGGGATTGGTCGTTTTCGGTTCTCGAGAGGGCGTCGCGGCCGTCATTGTTGCTGCTCCAGGTCCGTCAGTTTCGGCCCTAGGCTGTTTTCGCTAAAGGGAGGTTTACCAAAGGGAGGTTTGTCCACCGCCGAGACACCTGGAAGTGTGCACGATGCGCTCCGCAACTGGCAGCTGTCGCCGGCGCGCACTGCGACCTCCCGTCCGGTTGTGGCCACGTCCGCCGCTGCGCTCCCTGCAGAGGCCGAGGAAGCTGCTCACGCCGTCGCGGGCGCGTTCCAGCGCCCCCGGAGGCGCTCTCCGGGCGTCCCCGGGCGCTCTCCGAGCGTTCCCCTGGAGCGCTCGGAGGCCGCTGCGGCGCCCGCGGTGCAGCCTCCGGGCCCGCGGGCTCTCCGAGATGCCCGGCTTATCCCCCTCCGGCTCTATCCTCAGCCTGCCTTCATCTTCCGAGCAGTTTCTTTGGGCGGAGGGCAGAGGGTGAGGTCTGAAATGTCGTTTCGATGGATTTCCGAGGCTTGAATCTGCAAGAGGGGAATCACAAGACGGATTAATTGTCGAGGTGCAAAAGCCCATTTGGATTTCACCCTGAGCCCTCCACCCTAAGAAAATGCTCAGATATTTCTCCTCCTCCGCCTCCTTCCTCCTCCTCCTGCTTTCTTCACCCTGCCTTTTTACCCTGCTGGGATCGATTGTGAAGGCCTTGCGGCCAGTGCCGCGGACCCTGAAGGATGACGACGACGACGACGAGAACGACGACGACGACGACGACGACGACGACGACGACTGCCCGACTGTCTTCATCTTGCTTGCACCTTGCTTGGGGCCGCCACCTCTTCCCGAGCCGTGCTGTTGGAAGGCCCCGGGGGCCGAGAGGGGGGCCTTGGTGGTTCCATTGGAGGTAGCGTGCCCAGCGTTGAGGACATGATGACGCCTGAGGTCGCCATGCAGGCAGACCCGCCATGGGGGAAGCAGGTCTTGAGGGAAGCGGGCCCCGAGGTGTTGCACACTTTTCGGGCTCCTGGGGCCCTCTGCAGGGGCCCTGGGAGTGTCGGAGAACGACTCGGGAGGCAGACCTCGTGCTGGGGGAAGGCTCCGGTCCAGGACCCGTGTGTTTTTGGGACCCGCTTCCCCCATGCGAAGAGGTTGCCATGAAGGAACGTTTGTGTTCTCGGCCGCATCGGAGGCCTGGGAGAAGACGCCGTTCATCACCGACAAGATGAAAGACTTCTACAAGGCGCGGGGGCGGATGGCGAGGGTGGCGCAGCTCCACCAGCTCCTGTTCATCCTCTTCCATCTCCTCGTGCCCCTCCTCTTCCACCTCCTGCTCCTTCTTTTTCGTCTCCTCCGCCTGCTCCCCCGCATCCCTCCCTCCATCCCGTCCCTCATTACCCCCTTCACCTCCTCCTCCTCCTCCTCTTTCTCCTCCTCCTCCTCCTCTTCCTCCTTCTCCTCCTCTCTCTTCTGTGCCCTCCTCCGTCTCCCTGCTCCTCCCAGTTTGCCTCATACAAAAATTGTTTTCCCATGCGCTGGTTTCTCGAACGGATCGGTCTCGATGTTCCAAGATTGCGTGCTCGCTGCAGGGTTGGCCTTCTCTCAGGACAGGCGTTTTGCTCCCGTCGTTCAGAGAGGCGCTCTTGCCCCGTGGGAGGGATGTTTCCTCGTCGTTGTCGCCCCCCCCTCCTTTCCCCTCCCCCGCCTTCCCCTGGTCCTTCTGCTCATCCAGCTCCTCCTGCTCCCGCTGCGATTCCTCCTCCTCCTCCTCCTCATCATCATCATCATCATCACCATCATCATCATCATCATCATCAGCATCATCATCATCATCATCATCAGCATCATCATCATCATCATCATCAGCATCATCATCATCATCATCATCAGCATCACCCGTCCCCTTCCCCGTCCTGCTCGCTCTCCGCCCGCCCCCCTCTCCCTTCGTGCCCGCTCGCGCCCGAGCCCCCGCGCCTTGAGGGGCCCACCTGTGAGCGCAGGCACGCGCGCCCGTATATAGCCGCTGCGTCTCGTCGGTGTGGCCTGGCCGTGCGGGGCCAGCTGCGAGTCGACCGCTGCGCCTCGACGCCGAGAGCTCACCCGGCTGCGGCCCCGAGCCGATGCCGACCCGGCGATCCGAGGTGGCCCAAGTCTTGCACGGCGCCGTCGTGCATATCTCGGCCTGTCCCGTGCGAGCTCTGTGTCGATCCCGTGCCGATGCAGCCCGCTCCGACTCGATGTTGAAGGATCGATTTATGTGATTTAAGGATGCAGTCGGGGCCCTGAAGAAGGAACCCTGTTCGTTGGGGAGGGGCTCGGTGTTCCTTGATTGTTCTGAAGTTGGCCTGAGGTGTCCCATGGGAAATCGAAGTTCAACGTATGGGAGAAAGGGGCCTCGTTCCTTATTTAGGGTTCCTTAGGTCAACGCCCCGACTGTATTGAATGAGCCTTTGGCGTGTGCCATCTGAATTTCCAAATTCCTACGGTTCTGAAAGGGGCCTTCGGATGCCTCGCGACGTGCGAGTTCCAGACGGCGTGCGGCAGAACAGCGCGAAGAAAGTGAGAGTCAGCGATTTCAGCGTGGTGAAGATACCATAGCGAAAACGAACAATCCCGCGAATGTTCCTATTGAGGGGTACCGATCGGGAATTGTGAAGACAAGGTGTGTTGGTCAGCGTAGACCCCTACACCGTGAGTTATTGTTCTACAGTGATGTCGATTTGTATGTTGTGGAGGCCATGCGGTACGCTGTATTTTGTAAGTTTTGCGGTGTGAGTTGTGTGGTGCACGCTGTGTAATGCAAGCTATTGGTTGTTATATTGTGATTAACGAATCATGGACCCCCGCGGGGCTGATGGATAGACCCCTCGGGGCGCGACACATTTTTTAATCACGCGCGTCAGGGTTCGGAGTGCTCGGGGAACCACCGCGCCGCGGATGATGGCAAACGGCACGAACGACGAGGAAGAGGAAAAGGATGAGGAGGAGGAGGCAGCCGAAAAACAACCGAGCTGGCGTTTGCGGGAACTCCAGGGTTAGGAGCCCGCTTCTTTCAGGGCCCGTTCCTGTCGCAGCGACGGGAGGTCCGATCGAATTCGAACAAACAAACAAAGCGACGGTGGCGGCGCCGACGGCACTACATCTGCTGCCCTTGCCTCCCGCCCATCCCCGCTCCCGTATTCCTTGCTGCTCCTGTCGCTTTCTCGCTGACGGCCGGGCGTCGGCGCGTCGGCGCTAGTCACCGGCGCCGCCGCGTTGAGTTTCAAGTTGGCGGGCGCCACCCCGCGCTTCGCCTCAACAGGGAAACCCTTTTTCCGAATCGCACGAGTCGCATTGATTTGTTACTCACAAGCTGGCATTCATGTATATAGGATGTGGAGTGTGCGCTACGTGGTGCAAAAGATACACGATGTGTATCATCGTGTTTGTGATACACGCTGTGCAATCCATGTTGTGTTCGACGTGTGCTGTTAGCTCAAGCGCGTGACATGTAGTGGGTGGTATACGTGATGTGAGCCACGCCGTGGCGGTCAAGCAGTGCAAGGTGTGTGGTGCAAGCCAGGTTGTGCATGCTGTGCCGTGTGAGGTGTGTGGTGTGTGATATGCGCTGCAGCCTACCTGGCGCACGCTGCGCGGTGCAAGCCGCACGCTGTAAACCATACGGCGCCAGCGCACGGGGCGCCCACGGGGCGCCCACGGAACGTGCAGCGCCGCCAGCGAGGCGACCGCCTGGAGCACCGACCCGGCGCAGATGGGGCACTGCCGGCGCCCGCGGGCGGGCGCGGGCGATCACGCGGCGAGGCCGCGGGGAACCCGCCCGGCGCCCGCGAGGCGCCCGCGAGGCGCCCGCGAGGGGGCACGGCCGCCAGCGCGGCGATGCCACGGAAGCCGACCCAGCGCAAGGGGCGGCCATCTCGGCACCCTCGGCCGGGCACGGGCGCCAGCACGGCGACAGCCAGGGAAAATTTGTTCCCAGTTGCTCAAGACAGCCAAGCCACAAGCCCAACGTGCAAACACCGTACTGGGACAGGGCTTCGCGATCTCGTCAATCCTGGCCAGCCTATTGCACCACCGTCTGTTTGTATCGCATCGCCGTCATTGTAGATCATACATCACACAATTTTGCAACACAGGTCACACTACATAACTGACACAACATCGCTTATGCCAAATAGCTTGCACCACATAGTTCGCACCCCATACACCACCGAACCTGCACCACATATATTGAACCGCCGTGCTCACACCTCATAGTTTGCACTCTATTGTTTGGGCCTTGTAGCTTACGCCACATGTTTTGCACCACGCATCGTACACATGCACTGTGTAGCCACTCGCTGCTTGCAGGGCCACCCAGGCGAGCATGCTGCTGTGTGTGTGTCCACGCGTAGATGTTATGGCTGGTTTGCTCTTCCCATTGTATGTTATTCCTCTTATCTTCATTATGATCATTGTTTGTCTGATTGCTCTCGTGCCAAGTCCAGCAAGTTTGGTCGAACGTCGGGACACGGGCGCGCATCACCGCCGGCGGCCGGGCGGCGATCGAGCGAGGGGCGGCGACAGGTGCAGGCCGCGGTCATGGAGCCCTGGGACGGGCCCGCGCTGCTGTGCTACACCGACAGCAACACGGCAGGCCGCCACCGGAGACGCCTCCTCCTCCTCCTCCCCCTCCTCCTCCTCCTCCTCGTCCTCCTCCTCCTCCTCCTCCTCCTCCTCCTCCTCCTCCTCCTCCTCCCCCTCCCCCTCCTCCTCCTTCTCCCCCCTTCTCCCCCACCTCCTCCTCCTCCTTCTCGTCAGACGGCGCCAGAGATCAGCCACGCGCAGAGGGGGTCTGGGGGAGGGGAGGGGGCTTCTTAGAGAAGCACCCCTGCCTCTTAGGAGGCGCGGGCCTTGTGTATAGTAGTCTATAGAGGTAGTGCCGGCGCCTTCCAAGAAGCAGCCTCCTTCTAACAAGCCTTCCCCCCTCCCTCTACCCCAGTGCGCGCGCAGCCGAGGAGAAGGATGTTGGGGGCAACGATAGGGGGGTAGACAAGGGAAGCTGCTATCGACGATGCATCGACGATGCGTCATCGATGTCATGGCGATGTTTCGACGATGTATAGGCGATACGTGGAGTAGTCTGCATCGACAGGGCATCGACGACACATGGGCGATGTATCGGCCATTCGAGGTCGATGCATCTCCCCTGCATGCCTGACCGTCAGCCTGACCCCCCCTATCTGTCCCCCTCAGAAGGAAGGAAATTGGAGAGGGAGAGATGGTAGCGAGGGCCGCCGCGAGCGCGCGAAGCTCTTCGTGGCTCGCGATTCCTCGTCCCCATCCTCCTCGTCCTCCTCCTCCTCCTCCCCAAGGGGGGGGGGGTCGGCGCGAGAGCGCGACGCGATTCGAGCTTCCCGCCTCGAAGTGCGACCTGCGCGAACTCCGCTGCCCCCCTGCGGAAAACGGGGGCGGGCGGAGACCCAGACCCCCTCTGCGCCGCGAGCAGAGACAAAGCGCTGCCACAGAACACGCTCAAGGCCCACTCGGGCGGCGCCCGGGGCGGCGATCGCGCCCTCCGCCGGACGCTGCGCTGCATCTGCCGGCCTCGGGGGGGCCCCGCCTTGGGCCCCGGGGGGCGGTCGCAGAGCAGCTCGGGACGAGGATTATGTCGGGCGTGTCCCCCTACAGGGAGATTTTCGACGAAAAATAAAAGTTATCCCGGCAAAGCAACCTAACAGCGATGTGTATAAGCATATTTGTCAGCCTCAGCCTGCCTCAGCCTCAGCCTCAGCCTGCCTCGGCCTCAGCCTGCGTCAGCCTCAGCCTCAGCCTGCCTCAGCCTGCCTCAGCCGCAGCTTGCCTCAGCCACAGCCACAGCCTCAGCCTCAGCCTCAGCCTGCCTCAGCTTCAGCCTCAGCCTCAATGTGGCCTGGGAATGGTGTTCTGGGAACACGAAGAACACGAAGTGGCCTACAGTTGGCTCCGGGCATTCAAAATGTGGCCTGGGAATGGTGTTCTGGGAAGACGAAGTACACGAAGTGGCCCACAGTTGGCTCCGGGCATTCAAAATGTGGCCTAGGAGTGGTGTTCTGGGAATGGATTCCTAAGGATTCCTAAGAATTCCGAAGGATTCCTAAGGATTCCTGGGGCTGACCCTTTTGTCCAGTTTTGTCCGGATCCCGCCCACACCCCCCTGGGGCGTCAAGATGCTTTCTTTTGACACCACTAGAAACCTATCAGCAAAAGCTGTTAGGTAAATACCCCAAAAATACCCCAAGAAGGCCAACAAATATTCAAAACATCGTCCCCAGACTATTTTTGAACTATGTTTTGATTTTTGGGGGGGTATTTTTTTTTTTTCGTCGAAAATCCCCCGGTAGGGGGACAGGCCCGACTTAAGACGAGGAGCGCCGGCCACGGGGACGGCTGCAGGCGGTTCCGGGGGGCCCACGCGGTCCACGGGTCGCGGCGTCGCTGGTCCGGGGTCGTCCTGGGTGGGAGCGAAGCTCTGGGAGGTTGAGGGGCGGTGAGAGAGAGGGGTGGTGGTGGCAGCAGAGGGAGAGAGAGTGGGAGGGAGAGAGAGAGAGGGGAGCGAGGTGGCCGGAACGCGAGAAAGAGGCAGTGATGCTTGGGCTGGGGAGGGAGAGAGAGAGAGAGGGGAGAGCGAGGGGAGAGAGAGTGGGAGAGAGAGAGGGGAGCGAGGTGGCCAGAACGCGAGAAAGAGGCAGTGATGCTTGGGCTTGAGATGGTATTGCACGGGGGCGCCTGCACTCCTTTGGTGGGACGAGCGGCCTGCTGCAGCACATCTGTGTGTCACTCCAGGTCCGGCCAAATGCTGGACAGAGCGAAGGAATTGCTGGAGTGCTTCCCCGAAACGCCACTGGCTTCGTCCAGACACCGTGTCATGCCTCGCGTGCGTCTGCGCAGCGTGAGTATGGTTCAGGAGAGGAAAAGACACAGACACAATTAATCGTCGATTCCCAGGAAAATATGGGAACATATGGGAAGTGGGGGGAAGACAAACACCCAGAAAATATTTGAAAATATCGGGAATCTTTTTATTTGTGTGTATTTATTTGTGTGTCCTTGGGCCCCTTCAATGGTGTTCGGCAGGGCAACACAGCCCCGGCGGCTCGAGCCGAGGACCGCGGTCTGGCTCCAGCCAGGCGGCGGGCATGGCAGGGAGCGAGGAACATCCTCGTGGGCGCTCCTGCCGCTGCTGCTGCCGGCTCTTACTTCAGCCACCTCGGAGGTCTCCCGTTCGGGGCTGGACAGAGCCCCCAGCAGTGGCACGTCGATCAGTGCACTGTCCGTTTTCGGCTCTCGAGAGGGCGCCGTGGCCGTCATTTTCCAGGCTTGCGCCCGCCAGGTTTGGGCCTCAGGTCGTTTTCACGAAACCACGTTTTGCTCTAAAGGGGGGTCTGTCCATCCCTGACCCATGGCGTGCTGGGGGCGTTGGCAGAGGCCTCGGCGAGCTGCTCGATGAATCAGCTGCACGGGGCTGCTGGTGGCAGGCACTGGCGAGGACGGCCTCCCACCGGCTTGCTTCAGAGGCCCGGCCGCAGGGGCCCGACCTGTACAGCACCAGGCTGGCCTGCCTCGTAGGCCCCGCCGATGCAGTGAGCTCTGTTGATAGGGCCGGCACGCTGCTTGCGTATCGGATAGCCTTGCAGTGTACCCAGGATAGGGATGTGAGATGCTGCTCAGAATCGGTTCGGCCCTTCCTCGTATGGGTTGGCACGCATTTGCCGTATCGGATGGTGCGACAAACCGAGACTCCGAGAATCTTTTCTGAACCGTCGCTCGACCCTTGGACGGGCCAGCGCGCCGCCGCGATGGCGGATGGGCGGGCACGTCCAGCTCGTTTGTGTGAGACATTTTGCCTTCGCGGATTGGGCGTCACGTCGCCTTGATAGCGCATGCGAGCCGATGTGACACCGGCGGTGGGTACGAGGAAGTGCTTTTGTGTCAGGGTGGGGGAAAAAGCGCAGACACAATTAATCGTCGATCCCCCTGAAAATATGGGAAAATATGGACAGTGGGGGGGAAAATGAAAACCCACAACATTTTGGAAAATATGGGGGATCCTGGGATTTGTGTGTATTTATTTGTGTGTCCCTGGGCCCCTTCACTGTGGGGCGTCGGAGGGGAGACCGGCTCCCTCCGTGCACACGCTGACGGTGTGTTAGCTAACGGCGAAGTAGGACATCCAATTGTAGAAAGGCGTGGTTCGTGACCAAACCACTGTAGGAACGTGTGTTTCGTGTTTTCCTATATTTCGCTGCGTCGTTGCCGCTCGATACATTCTCACATTTGAAGTGTAGGAAAGTGTGGTTCGTGATTGCCTACAATTTGTTCTGCGCGAGCTCGGTGTCACAAACATCAAATTCCCAACATGGCCGTTAGCGCGGCCTTGGTCCCTGCAGCGGGCTGGGTGCATGGCGGTCGGTTGCCCTTGCTTGGGGACATCTCTGGTGACGCCCGCCGCCGGCCACAGGTGGTCGGCACTCGTCTTCGGATTCGGAACGATCGAGATGGATGCTTCGAAGAAATAGGCCTCAAACATATTTCGAAGAATGCATACTCCGAATAACAAGCACTTGTAAGAAACAACTCCGAAGAACAAATACGCCATAAACATACTTCGAATAACAAATACTTCGAAGATGGCGCTCCGCGCGGATTTCATGGATCCGCCCTTGGCCCCTCTGGCGGCGCCTCCGGCGCCGCCCCTGGAGCGCTCCGCGCGCCAGGGAGGGGAACCAGCGCAGATCCAAAAAAGTCGCGCGGAGCGCCAAGACCGACAGCTCTGACAGCAGTCCCTGCTAATTTTGAAGAGGACTCGCTGTCGGTGTCGCCGCAGGCATGGTCCAGTTGAGGCGCAAGCTCGCCTGCCCAACAACGGCCGCTGTCGGTATTGGACATTGCGAGGGTGGGATTCCCATGCGCCCATGCGTGTTCATCGAAAGGGCGTGCATCCGAATTTCAGGTAGAGAGAATGCCCACGCCTGTCCATCGACAGGGATGGGCGTCTGGGCCAGGACGGCGCCTACGTCGACACCGTAGATGTCATGGGTTGTTGCGCCCGCGACAGCAGTCTGGCTGTTTCACGGTTGTTTAAGCGGCCTGATATATCGGATGTGTTGTGAATGTTTTTATGCAGCGAGCCGAAGCTCTCACACGCACAGAAAAAAACCCTCGTTGCGAGGGCAGGATGCCCATGCCTGTTTGTCTACATGGATCAGTTTCCCAGCTTCTAGGCGTGCGCAGCGGATACCATTGCCATCGATAGGGATGGACATCCACGCCGACGCGGCGCCTAAGTATTCCTGACAGTGTCGATGTCGAATATTGCCGTGCCCGCAATTGCTGTTTGGCCGTCCCGCGGCCATGTCAGCGTACTCAAGATCGCGGATGCCCAGCCGTCAAAGAGTACCGCAGTTGTTTGTTCATTATTTCACTTGGTGTCTGATGGGCCAGTTTCGCATGCATGCTTGGCGCTAGAATAATGTCGAAGCGTTCCAGGTATTGATCCCAGGGCTGATGTTTCCCCATCGTGCTTGTGCCATTGTTTCCTTGCTGCGCGCCATGCGCGCGTGAAGAAACTAGAACACGTCACGCTTTCGGAGCGTGCATAGAGTCGCGCAGTAATCG